CCATTCTTCTAACTTGACTGGAATCACTACCGTGCCTCTAAAACGTTAGTATTACTCCATTCTTCTAACTTGACTGGAATCACTACCGTGCCTCTAAAACGTTAGTATTACTCCATTCTTCTAACTTGACTGGAATCACCACCGTGCCTCTAAAACGTTAGTGTTACTCCATTCTTCTAACTTGACTGGAATCACTACCGTGCCTCTAAAACGTTAGTGTTACTCCAACCTTCTAACTTGACTGGAATCACTACCGTGCCTCTAAAACGTTAGTGTTACTCCATTCTTCTAACTTGACTGGAATCACTACCGTGCCCTTAAAACGTTAGTGTTATTCCAACCTTCTACAATGTCTCTATATTTACAAGGTGGTCACTGGTATTTCTTCAATTATTTTAAACTAAGACTTCAAGATGAACACTGACTGTTTTGATTACATTTCTTAGATCGTTCGACCGAACTTATGTTGACGCGGCAGTATTTCTGAAGGCTTATAACGCTAAAAACCGGTTTTCGATACTCGTGGTGGGCACAGCACAGATAGCCCATTGTGCAGCTTTGCGCTTAAAAAAGAAACAAACAAAGTGACCCGAAAATGTGCTGCTACTTTGTTTAACAAGAAATGAACATAGGCTTGTTTGTTTGTTTGTTTTTAGAGCAAAGCCACATTGGGCTATTTGCTGTGTCCACCGCGGGGAAACAAATCCCGGTTTTAGCGTTGTAAGTCCGTGGACTTACCGTTGTCCCACCTGGGAAGTGAGAAATAGGAAACTAACTTTTTATAACGACTTTACGGAAGTTAGAAATAAACGTTTATCTAATGTCGACCTGTCACTAGCTTTTAATATTAAAATGACTGTTTCTATGTTAATTTTAAACATTTTCAGAAAGACACCATTCAGCTTATTTTCTAGTCATATTTGTTGTAGGCGTATAAGTAGAATTGTATTTTTCACTTGTTATTTTTTTTAAGAATGTCGAATCTAAGTACTATATGGACGTATAGTTTCATACTTATCTTTAGTGAAGCAGAAGGCTAACGGATATGTCGTTCTAGCACAGGAGTGGAGCTGAACACATGAGAACACACATGCTTTTTGTAAGTAGTGGGAATGACAGTTAATAAATTGTTTATTACGAAACGTCGTATAATTCGTAGATAATTGAAAGATTGGCGTTACAACGCACTGTTTATATAAAATCATGGGCCGTGTGCTAAGTATGAGTGCTGAAGAACAAATGATGGAAAAACCTATGAATAGTAATACATGGTTTTGATGAAAGTTATTTGAAGTTTATGAAATATTCACATAAATATATGACTTTTCTAATGCAACTTATATTCAGATATCTGAGTTAATGATCTGTTCTTTTCTTTACATTTTCACAGTTGAAGATATAGTGGTAATGCTTTCATTTTCTGGTTATTGTTTGTTTTTGAATTTCGCGCAAAGCTACACGAGGGCTATCTGCACTAGCCGTCCCTAATTTAGCAGTGTAAGACTATAGGGAAGGCAGCTAGTCATCACCACCCACCGCCAACTCTTGGGCTACTCTTTTACCAACGAATAGTGAGATTGACCGTCACATTATAACGCCCCCACGGCTAAAAGAACGAGCATGTTTGGTGTGAGAGGGATTCGAACCCGCGACCCTCAGATTGCGAGTCGAGTGCCTTAACCACCTGGCCATGCCGGGCCCATTTTCTGGTTAAGAGCTGGTTTTTGTTTTAGTTTATTGAAAAAAGATTCTGGGATTTTAAGATGGAATTCTTCCCTGGAGTAATGAATTACCACTAATGATTCTAACTTTCAAATGTCCTGGGTCTAGGGAACCAACCCTGTTTTTCATTTGTTACAGAACTTCATCAACTTGTTTCTTTTGAATTTTTATTTTACAGAAATTATCTTTAATTTCCAAGTCCAGAAATTTATTTTGAAATTGTTTCTATTCTTTAGAGAATTGTTGTTTGACATTAAGCTCAAACTGCACAATGGGCTAACTGTGCTCTGCCCACCACGTGTATCGAAACCAGGTTTCTAGCGGTTAAGTCCGCAGAAATACCGCTTTGCCACTGGGGGGCCGAAATTGTGGTTGGTTTGGAGTTAAGCTCAAAGTTACACAATGGGCTAACTTTGCTCTGCCCACCACGGGCATCGAAATCCGGTTTCTAGCGTTGTAAGTCCGCAGACATAACGTTGTGCCTCTTTAGAGAAACACCATTTATTATTGGTTGCCTTAAGTTGAAGGAATTTGGGATAAGATATTCATCTTTGCAAGTTAAGAGAAAAATTGTCATACAATAAATGTTTGTGCAATTTGAATTAAACTCTTCGTAATTTTATAAAAATTTGATAGTGTTTTTACTGTATCTGTGTGAAATAATATCGGTAACGCTTTTGCTTTTCCTGTGATGAAATTTAGTAATAACATCAAACTAATACCCTTACTTGTACCTTCCAAATCATGTGTTTGATTTAAATGCATTATAGAATAAAGAGATCTGAAAATGTTAGAGCTTACAATAGTCATATTTCTGAAAATGGGGCACGTACCTTCTAGAATGT